AACAGATTCATCTTGGAGAGGATTAAACCAAGCTACTCCTTGGAGGCAAGGATTCTGGGGCTTCGTCTGACATACTTTGGACATGTTGCCAGGAGGAACGGGTCCTTGGAGAGGGACATCATGCTTGGGAGGGTGGAGGGACAGCGCAGGAGGGGAAGGCCCTCTATGAGATGGATTGATTCGGTGATTGGGGTAATCGGGATGGGTGTGTCAGAGGCAGTGTGGTTGGTGCAGGATAGAGCAGGGTTTAGTTAGGGCTGTTGTGCATAGGGTCGCTATGAGTCACAAACGACTCGACGGCACATAACAACAACAACAATAATTTTATATATATATATTTAGACTTTCCTCTAAACTTTAGTAGTGGGTATATTATAGTAGTAGGTATATTATAGTTGATTCTTTTGTCCGTTTAATGTTTTGGACTTTGAAATAACATCTACATGTTGTTATTAAGTGATCAGCCAGTGTAAACTACCAAAAGACATGATTCCACGGATTTTAGAAGACGAAGGCTTCTATATTCAGAGAAAACCAGAAATCTATAAAAAGACCTGCAACAGAATGGAAAACCGCCTGCTTAATCTGGAAGAGGCAAGTTCATCAGAAACTTACAAAGTTAAGCCACTCACTAATAGTACATGACATTGATTTTTAGTGATATTTAATTGTTCCATTTCTTAAATATTTTTGGTAGGGGAAGTGTTGGTTTGAAGAAAGTGGAGAAATAATGTCATTACCTTCACCAATTAGGCAGTCATGGAGTTTCAGGCTGCACTTGAGAGAGGAATCCTTGCATCCAGCTCTAAAGACTATCTATAGGAAGGTAACCACACCAATCTAATTTGTGATTGTCTAGGCATGAACAAGTCCAAGAGGCAGGTATTAGAACAGAACAGGGGAATACTGCATGGTTTAAAATCAGGAAAAGGGTGTGCCAAAGTTCTATCTGTTCTCAATACCTCTTCTATCCAGATGCTGCAAATACTTTGAGAAGATAGATTGTATGAAGGTTCTCATATAGTTACATACTGGAACTGATACATTTTCAGAAGACTCGGTGACACAGTGAGTTAAGCATGGTATGCTAACAGAAAGATTGCCCACCAGCAATTTGAACCCACCAGCTATTCTGTGAGAGGAAGATGAAGCATTTTGCTCCAGTGACACTTACAGTCTTGGAAACCATATGGGCAGTTCTACTGGGCTGGTCTAAATCCGATGTGTTGCTATATGTTGAAATCAAATCAGTGACAGTGGGTTTGGGTTTTATATAATACAATTTTTTTTTATTATTTCACCCATATTTTCTTTTCTTTCCTCTTCTTTATTGATGTTAAAGAAATAAATCCAATATTTTGGGCTGTATCTTCCCATTTTAGCTTGTTAAACAAATGTTATTTTGTTTTTAATCATTAAAACATTCTCTTTTTTAATTTTTTTACATTTTTTTAGTATTATGTATTTTTTTACATTTTAATGAACATTTACAGAGATTTTAAATTTCCATTCATTCATTGTTGCACTTTTCTCCCTGCCCAGCCCTCCCCCACCCAGTTCACATTTTATTATTTTTTGTGTGTCCCGTCAAATCAGATCTGACTGGTACAGGAGGAGATTGCCCCTCCTTCTTCAGCAGAGCACCTGGTACATTTGAACAGTGTACCTCTGGGATTACAGTGCAGCTTCTTGCCACTAGGCCACCAGAGCTCCCTAAAACATATTCTCTTGACTCATTGAAATGTAATCTATTTTATTACTTTGACCTCTACTCTGGCAATGCCAAAATACCTTACAGCACTTTAACTCCATTTTGCTCGTCTTTTGTATAACCATTGCTGTGTACAGTCGAGCCCGAACCAACTCATTGCTGACCCTCCATCAGGTTTTCAAAGTCAATAAAGCACACAGAAGGAGGTTACCCAGCTTTCTCTTATAAAGCAGCGGGTGGATTCCAGTTGTATTTCTTTGGGTTGGCAGTGCAACTACTTACCTACCACTAAGCCACCAGTGCTCCCTATAAGATAGATTAATATCACAAGAAATGAGCATTTTTTTAATTTCTCCACATTTCCACTTACACATGTACGTTTGTATCTTCCCCACATGCACCCTTGTGGCACACCAAGCTACTTAATATAACTCTCCTATCCAGGGTCTTTTAACTCCCATTAAATGACTTTACTTGTTGTTGTTACGTGTCAATTGAGTCAATTCCAACTCCTTTTCTCGCTTTATTGAGAAGTTGCTTATTAGTCTTGATGTGCAGATTTCTGTTTTCTTTATATCCGGATGTAATCCATACAGAGTAGTATGTTAACTTCTTCAGCATACACTTAAAGACTTAATTTTCTGCAAGCAATGTTGTTTAGGACTATGCAAATATGAGTGGTTCTGGCCCACAAAGTGGTTAGGTAGCTTGCTGTTACTGTAAATAGAGCACATGGCTTCTTTGTGGGGTGAGACCATGCAGATAAGGTGTAGAGAATGCCAACATGGCCAGTTTGCCATCCCCTTGGCCTTAAAGAAAGTCATCTGGGTTAGAAAAGGGGAGCTCACTACTGTCCGAAAAAGAAGATCTGAGACTGTGTATGCCTTTTGACAAGGTTCATTGTTTCGATGAACCTTGACCTTGGAGTCAGAGAGTGAACTATACTGCCTTGTGGAGACAATTAAGAGAGAATTAGAAGCAGTGATAGAGAGTCCACAGATAATTTATGTCTTTTACAAAGATTAGTACAATACCAGTTCATGTAAAAATAGATTTTACAGTGTTTATTTGGTCTTAATGTTGCTTCCAAGTTTTTCTTAATTTGTAATTTTTTATCCTTTCTATCTAAATCTATCACCTCCTTTCTGATTTTGTTCTATTTCTGCTTAAGTGTCTTTGTGTCTGACATACCTAATGTATTTTAACTAGTTTTGAGAACTGCATGTTTATTTTCGTGTATCTTTTTTAATATCTTTTTTGAATGCTTTGGTTATGGAAATGTTATTTTGCTCTTTACTCCTTTTTCTTACATTAAATTTATGTTGAATATAACAATGGCAATTATTCTACTGTTTATTTTTACATAAAATTTTGTTTTCCTGGACTTTCAGAGAAAAATTTGCTTCAGATCATTTTTTTTCACAGATCTCTGTTGTATTATGTAGTGTTAATTGCTTTTATAAGGAAAAGTAATTTGTAGCTTCAAAAGAAATAGAACCAGTTTAAATTTGTTTTACATGTTTTTTTAAGGCAGTAAAATCTGATCTAGAAAGTTCCATCAGGAAAAAAGTAGAAAATCGAAGGGATGTGTATGAATTAGATCTCAACATTGTGGGTCTGCAATTCAGCCATCATCCTCTCTTCAATCGAGAACAAGTCTTATGTGCGAGGCTGCTTCAACTCTATGAGTGTTTTCAGAACCGACAGCAACACAATTTACCTCAGCTGCTTTATGAGAAGGCAAGAATGGCTTTCATTGTACTTATAGAGTTGAGCAACTAATTAATATTGAAAGACAAAATTGTTAATGCAAAGCAAATTCTCCTAGACTATTTCCCCCTAGCACAGTTAAGTATTTAAACAATTAGGGGAAAGACTTGATTTCAGTTTTGCTAAAAAGAAATTGACCAAGGAAGCAACCTTAAATATGCAGTGTAGTATATATAGAATAAAATAGAATTAATAGAATAGAATTAATATCATATCATATCTATTATATATATTGGTTCTAGAAGTCAAGAAAAGTATTTTAAATGATCGCTAAGCAAAAGTGCCCCATGGCTGTTCTAATTCTTGTACTAGAGTATTTTTATAAAAATATTGATTGGGTAAACCAAATGCGAAAAGCCTTTGTCTCAGGATAACTAATCTAGTCATCTAATGATATTCTCAGGAGAAGGATGAGTAATCCCAGGCAATTAACTGCCTCTGAAAACCCGCCAGCAGGTCTCCTATGGGTCAGTTTCGACTCTGTAGTACAACAAACAGTTCCCAAAGCTGAAAGAGAAAGGAAAAACAGTACCGTTGACTGTTTTTATGAATCTTTGTCTTTTATTTAAACTCTCTGCTGGGTTTCCAGTGAATGAGTATTTTGCTAACTTGTGCTCTGTCTCAGAAAGATATTTTGGTGGCTCTCATTCGACTAACTTAAACAATCAAGCCCTCTGGAGTCATAAACCATCTTAACTGGAAACTTACTGTATCGTATCTTCATTTTACAATACAAGTGTAAGAACCATGAGACTTCATCCATGTGATTAAATTTCCATGTAGTAATTGTGTGGAAGAACCTAATAGACAAAGACCATGAATTCATAAAGCCAGAACATTTCCTAAAATCAATATTAAAAATTCTATTAAAGATGCTTGGAAGGGTATAGGGACAGCTCAGGGAGAGGAAGACCCTGGATAAGATGGATTGATGCCATAACTGGGGCAGTGGGAATAGATGTGTCAAAATTAGTGAGACTGGCTCAGGACAGGGAAGGTTCAGAGCTGCTGCTGTACATAGGGTTGCTATAGGTTGCAGGCAACCCAACGCCACATAACAACAACAACCGTGGGTAAGGAATTGTTCTGCCAACCCAAATGCAGATGGTTTGAATCCTCATTTGTTTCATGGGAGAAAAATGGGTAGTCTCCAAATTTGCATAGACATACCATGTATATGTCTTTCTTCTCCAAAAGAAAAGATCACAGATGGGGAAGGGAAAAGGCCAGAAGTTAGCACTTTGTCCATTGACCTATTACCAAAATATTGGTTTGTGTAAAGACATTGTTTGTGTGTCCTTTCAATCCTTTGTGGCCAGTGTATGCCTCTGCATGTTTTCAATGTGTTCATGCCAGTTTTAAAGTAGTAGAAGACTCACTGGCATGCAGAATTCTTAACCTGGAAGATGGTTCCTTTAAAATTTGCAGATAGTATGGGAGAACAGAAAAGATGCTTATGCAGACTTCTATCATTTCCCCTCTAGTTTTAAAAAATTATACATATAATAATACATAAATACATATATTCCCACTGGAAAGGATTTACTATACAATTTAAAGAATGAATGCTCTTGTAGTACAATGATCAGTGCATTCACTGCTAATCCTATGAAGCAATTCTGCTTTGCATATACGGGGATCTCTGTAAGTCAGAATAGACTTGATGGTGATTACCAACTAGATGAAGATATTGGGGGTGTGTATGTGTGTGTATGATGATGGCTCTGGATGTAAACATATGGATAGCTGTGGAATTTTGAGTAGGAAATGGAGGCCTGTTCTCAATCTACCATCTGTCAATGCTATTGATGTTTCTTTATATCAGTTGATGACTGATTGCCTATTATGTTGAAGGGGTAAGTATCTTCCTTGGACAGATACTGATTTTCTCCATTCTGCCCCAACATGCTTATATGAGCATATTTTGGAATATATTAGGCAGCAATACACACATAAGGCAGTATACATTTCTGCTACACTCCCCTTCTATAACTATAGGTGAATTGGAGTGATATAATGGATGGATGAAATGGACCAAAAGAGCTCTTCCTTTTTTTTTTCTTGGTAGGAGGTGATTTATTTCAAAATAGCAGAAGAGTAATTTTTTTAAATTGTGATTTTAATGAAAGTTTACAGAAAACTTGAATTACCATTCATTTATTGTTGTACATTTTCTTACCTATCCTTGCTCCCAGTTCACTTTTCTCTTTAAAAAATTCATTGTTGCACAGTTTCCTCCTTCCTCCCCACACCAGTCCACCTTGCTATGCACCTCTTATTCTGGCCTGTTATCATGCAAATAATTCCTAATCATATATTCCTTTTAAACAATTCTTTTCCTCACCTGTTCCAATGCAGTGTTCATTATTTACTCCGTCTTTTCTTAGTTTCTCCCAGTGTCCGTCCTGTTTTATAACAGTGGCATTATGACGTATTTGTCCTTTTGTGACTGAGATATTTCCCTCAGCATAATGTCCTCCAGGATCACACATTTTGTATAATATTTTATTAGTTCCTTGTTTTTCAGTGCTGCATAGTGTTCAGTTGTATTAATATACAATACAGCTTCTCTAGCCATTCATTTCTTGATAGGCACTTGGGTTGCTTCCGTCTATTTGATATTGCTATTGCAGTAAACATGGGTGTGCATATCTGTTTTGGGTGGCAGTTCTGGTTTCTTTACAGTATATTTCCAGAAGTGCAATTGTTGGGTCAAATGACATTTTCAACATTCTGAGAAAGCACCATACTGTCTTCCATAGTGGTTGCATCATTTTACACTCCCACCAATAGTGAGTAAGGTTCCAATTTCTCCACAAACTCACTGGCATTTGTTGACAAGAGCTTTTTACTTTGTTACAGCTTAAAGCACTGACAGATGCTACTAAATTAGCAAATGAACAGTCAGAAATAAACCAGCTGACTGAAAAGTCTTTGCAAGATTATTATTGGCAGATAAGGTAGGTGGGGGGACATTCTATTCTTAATTGTTTATTAAATAACTTCTTTAGAAAGTTGCATTGGCCATAGAAGTAAAAAATAAGAGAAAGGACAAAATCACTTTGTAAGTGATTACAGAAATTATTTCAATGTTTCAAAGGATTTAAAGACTTTTTTTGTTTAAAAATATTTCACAGAAGTATACATGAAAGGTAATTTTAATATTCAGTGATTAAGAAAATATGTTCATGAAAACTATTAATTTTAATATCCATTTTTATTTAATTTGTTGATATTTGAAGGATTTATATTTGGGAAATAGACAACTAATATAAAAGATATTAATGTATCCTAAAAACAATACATAATAAGCATATGGATTTAAAAGTATATCTAGAAACCATGGTCCTCGAGAACAGTTGTGTTATGGACTAGTTCAGAAGAGAAATTAGAAAAGTATGGAATTACTGGAAAATTAAATAAAATATAATTTTGTTCGAAGGGATCACCAAAAACAGGTAAACTCAACTCACTGATATGTATTTGTTGGGTAGAAAGTTCTACTGTGCACAGGGATATAGTAGTTTCTAGGAGAGTGACTAGGTAGATGCAAAAATTCTCTGATTGTTCTTTGATCTGACCTGGTTTTACAAACTATCACTACTGGAGTCAACAGTTTATTGAAATGATAGCTTCCCTTGGATAACATGAGGTTACAAACACTACAGAGTTGAAAGTTCTTGTCAAGCCCAATAATGATGAGACACTGTCTTTCAGGTTTACAGAGTTCAATGGTAAGAAAAGAAATACTTGAGAGAGAGAGAGGCAGAGGTAGCCGACTCTCTCTGAAGGTTTTGTTTTTATTTTTTTTTTCTTAAGGCTAATAAAACTTGACATATTCAGGAGCTTTCTAGGGAGAGGTGAAGATTTCTCAGAAATTGACCTGTCTAAGCAGGGCTGTGGAAATGAGGTGTATATACAGTCTTGAAGACTTGAAGCATTTGAGTTAATTAGCCTTTTTGGTGACTACTGTTTAATACCCCAATCACCAAGTCACCAGGAAGGAAATGAGCATATTATTTGCGATTTTTTGCTTTGATTCGCCTCTCAGCCCTCACATCCAACAGAAGTAAAGATCTTTTAATGTATAATTTTAAGATCTCTCTCCCATCCTTGCCCTGCCTTCACTCTCATTATTTCAGGTGCTTATCTCTTAATGACTACATGATTAGCTACCTGAAACACCTCTCTTTAAACCATATTGCACATCAAAACTAAGAAAGTTTTTTAAAATAAAAGCTCTTTAGTGGCTCCCTCTTTAATATCTTCAGGATAAAATTAGATAAGTTTAACCAGATCTTTAAGGACTTTCATAATTTAATTCCTGCTTACCTCTCCAGTCTTATATCAGGGCTCTGTTAATTGAATTTTATAGCCTGATTTTCTTACACCTCTATTGTTGTTTTTGTTGTGTAATGGTCAAGTCAGGAATTGATAATAGCTGACCCTCCAGTAGGTTTTCAGAGGCAGTTAGTCACACATGAGGATATTGCCCATCTTTCTCCTGTAGAGCAGTTGGTGAATTTGAACTGTGTGCCTTCAGGATTGTGATGCAGTTTGTTTTGATGCTTCTTGTTTCTGGAATATTTGTCCATCAATTATCTGCCTAGGGTTATGTCACAACATACATTTTATTTTGTATCACTTCCTCAGGGGGGCTTTTATTTGCTCATTAAATTTCATTAAATTTCCTTTGTTCTCATACACACATGGCACTTAGTATTTCCCACTTGGTAATATTCATCACATTTGTAATTAGTGGTTCAGTCTTTTTCCCTCTTGGAATATTGGTTTCAAGCACTTAAAATATTGCCTGTCACATAGTAAAAGAAAACAAGCAGTAGCAGTCTCACTGACTTTAAGTCATTTTTAAATTTATTAGTGGTAAAGGAGATGTCATAGAAGGCTGAGTTTAAAAAGTGATAACAACTTGAGTTGTGAAAAGTGTATTTTCTATTTTCATGCACTTTGACTTAAGAACTCTTCCACACTGTAGTCTTTAAAATGATTCGAAAGACTATGGTGTGGGCTTGTCTTGATCCTCTCCTATCAAGATCTCTTAAAATTTTTACATTCTAAATATGAACCAGTCTCAAGCTTCACTGGCTTTGGAGCTGCATGTGAAATTTACTAGATGGAAAATGTAGAAATTATGGGAGAATCAAAATGCAACAAAGCAAGTCAGAAAATGTCAGAAGATGTACACTTGCTTTGCCTGTTCTTTCCTGCAAATAAGAAAATACTTAAATGCTGAGAGACAGAAAGTGTAAAAAGAGCAAGGGCCACATGAAGACAGCTGTTTCTGACCTTAACCGACTTCACAGAGGAGAACTGTCCCTGTCAACAGCATTAAAACACAAAACCAGTTCCCATGAGGTCAGAGGTCAGACACGTCCTCATGGTTCTGTACCTCTTTGTAAACGTCTCAACAGCAATCTTACTGCTTTACTGGGTCCAAAATTCAGTGCAATAGCTCACAGACCACACAGAACCACACTGGGGAAGTCAAAAGATTATAATCTGGGTTAGTAGCAGGATACAGTCAGAATAGCTTCTGAAATGTTCTCTTCACTACCTCAGCCTTGAGCTTTATGACTTTAGGCCAGTGTTACAAATTTCTGCCATTTCTAGCTCTCGCCCCACCTTCAGCCTCCAATTTCCAACAAACTTGAGCAAAGGCTCTTAAGTCTGGTTCTGTGGAGGGAAGCAGATCTGAGGCCAGCTGTGTCTCCTGTTGAATCTCTAGTCCTCTGAGTTGACCAAAGCTGCTGCTGCCCTAAAATTAGCTGGCAAAAGAACCTCTGGGCTCAAAGGATGCACTGCATTCTCTTGCTTTGTCTTTGCTGGTGGGGAAGATCTTCCAATTATGCTGCTGGAGCTGCTCAGATTAAAGAAGAGTCTAGCCATTCCCCTTGTGGATTGGCTAACACACCCAGTTTTTATATTCCCACCCATCCACAGGGCAAAGTATGTTATTGAATAGGGAAGGCATTTTGAACAATAAACCCTTAACACGACAGGGGGCAGAATATCAAAATGTATGTGCTTCTTGTTCTATTTTCTTTGCTGTCCTTTAACCTTAGGATCTTAGAAATTGAGCAACCCGTTTCTTTTCCAGGAGCACTTGCATTTTAACAGGCCACTTTCAAGTATTGAGAAACAGGAAAGAATTAATCCCTAATGATGAAATTGTAAGCTTTGTATCAAGATGTGGGAAACATTAGAGGGAGTTTCAGATGAGCTAGTGCAATACATCCTCCCAGGATATTTTTTGTTATTTATACTATTTATCAACCAACATTTTTTTTTTTGCACTGTAGTAATACAAAGGAGCTATATGTCTTAGAAAGAGAAAAGGACCTCTCACAAATACATAGCATGTTACAGATTTGGAGCCAGATAAAATCTCTTCGGAAATGGCAAGGGTTTACAAGCTCCCCAATAAAGTTACAGTTTCAGAGGTATGTGGCTGCTTTATTGTTCTTATAGGTCATGTAAGGAACTCACTATGAGTCTGGGAATTCCTAATAACCGAATGGTTATGAAGAAAAATTCAGAAGCTACACTATTGCATTAGTTTCTTAGGAGTGGCATTACAAATATAAAATTATTCTATTTACTTACATTGTGAACTACTTTATTATGTGTGTAGTGAAATTGGATTGCTGTTTAATATAATTGTGGTCATTTGTCCTTAGAGGTGGCCATGTCTTCATGGCTTAGAAAACAGGAAAGGAAGTGATAGGAATCATGGTGTGTGTTTATATCTCCCTTTGCCAAAAGAATGAACAGATATGTCTGGAGAAAAGTGCAGTCAGAGTGCTCCATGGAGGCAAAGATGACAAAGCTGCATCTCACATACTTTGGCACGTTGCTAAGAGAAGCTGTTCCTTGAAGGGAACATCAGATTTGTAACGTTGAAGGGTCAGCAAAAGAAAGGAAGACCCTCAACAAGATAGATAGACAAAGTGACTGCTACAGTGGGCTCCAGTGTGTCAGAGATGATGAGGATGGCACAGGACAGGACAGGGTTCAGGTCTGTTGTTCATCGGGTCACAGTGAGTCGTACTTGACTCGACAGCACCTAACAACAGCAATCCCAATTTATTATTCTCACCAGAAAAAAAAATGGGATTTTAATGCCTTTAGAAAGAACTGTAAATATTAGTGTTAAATTTCTGTATGGGGAGAAATAACATGTTTCTTTTTGTGTAAGTTTAACAGTCATTAAGAGTATCAATCATTTTCTTATGATGTAAAACTAATTTTTTGTAAGAAATTGGTTATGTGTGTGTGTGTGCATGCTCTCTGACACCTCTTAACTACTCCATTATTTCTGTTTTAAATGTTCTATTTATTATTTATTAGGATAAAGACAAATAAATATGATGAGCAAAACCAAGAACTGTCAGAAATATCTGAGTCTGAGAATAAAACTGAAGGGAATGGATACAAGAACGGGGAAAAACGGGAGGTATTTATATTACAAAGTGACATCCAGCTCAACCAGTTATACTTTTTCATTATTTGGATGTAGTAGGAAATCTGAACATTTGTAAAAGTTACACAGCAAAATGATAAATGTTTAAACTTAAGTGCCTATCAACAAACAAATGCATAGAGAAGCTCTGGTATATTCACACAATGGAATACTTCACTGCTTTGAAAAACAAAGAACTCATGAAATATTATACAAAATGGGTGACCCTAGAGGACATTATGCTGAGTGAAATATCTCAGTCACATAAGAACAAATACTGCATAGTGCCACTGCTGTAAAATGGGACTGACATCGGGGTGGGGGTGGGGGGAAGACTGAGAAAGATGGGATAAATTATGTATACTGCATTGAAATGGATAAGGGAGAGAACTGTTTAAAAGGGATATATGATTAGGTATTAATGTCATGACACGAATCCAGAATGAAGGCTGCACGATGGAGTGGATTTGGGGGGAGGGATTGTATTACAATGAAAGGATTTTTTTTTTTACTTTTCAAAGAGAAGAGCAAACTGGGGAGGGAGGGGTGGACAGGGAGAAAAGTGCAACAATGAATGAATGGAAATCCAAAGTCTCTGTAAACTTTCATTAAAATTAATAACAATTTAAAAATTGCAATAAAAAAGAGAGAAAAGTTTAATAATAATGGCCCTAATTCATGAATATACACCGTAAATGTTATTTATTTTTGTTCTTAGAGCCCTTCTTTCTCAGCTTCAGGATTTGAAAAACCAGCAATTCAAGGAGTAAAGCCAATTACTTTGATGCCACAACTTTCTTTCACTGAAGAATTAACAAACTTGAACACATGTTCACTGTAAGAAATTATTGCTTCATTCCTTAGTGTCTTCATTTTATGGGAGTCATTGGATGGTGAGAATAGTTAAGTGTTAGCTTTTAACTGAATGATTAGAAGAAGTTCAAATGAACATAGAAGCATCTTGGAGGGCAGGCCTAGCTATTTGGAACTATTCTACTCTACACATACCAGTGTTACCATGAATCATAATAGCAACTAAAAACAACATTGATGTCATTGTTTTTTATTAATAATTAAAATTTCTTGAGTAAATCTTATTTACCAGGTACTCTGCTAAGTGTTTTTTGGCTTTTTTTTAAAGTAAATTTTTACATTAATTGTCACCATAGCCCTGTGGAGTTGTATTAAGGCAGGTGGAGAAGTACAGGGCCACTTACCTAATACAGGACGGATGTGGAACTAAACCAGTTTGGTTTTGTTAAAAACCCTGTAAAGTTTATACCACTAAGTTTTGTATATTAATAGCCGAGTTCTTGGTTTTGTGGGTGGTTTGTTTTTGTTTTTTTCTGAGAGAGCAATATTTGCTGAGGTGGGATATAAGTTTGGGTTGGATGGTCATTCTTGTTTGTTAAAAAAATACCTGCTTGGTTCTCATAAAAAAGTATTTTCTATCATGAGGACCCTCCGGATAATTTTCTTCTCAGACAATATGAACTTCATTCCTTCCCAGTTATGATGTATTCTTAAGACATTCATGTTAAAACAGATATTATAATTATAACTCCATCCCCCCCCCATCTGCTAGGCCTACGGACTTTTATTTACCTTAGAGAGATTCTAACCTAAAGCCCTGAACTATATATTCCACTTAACAACATCTCTAAACCATTTTTTAGTATTTAGAGTGTATATAATTTAACATGAGGTAACTCGTGGTTGCTGTGATGCTAAACACTGTGACGCTGATGAGCCAAATGCGATAATGGTTACCCATGGTGGACAGTTTTTGGTGGAGCTTCCCGATTAAAACAAGCTTGGAAGCAGGAGTGGCATCCACTTCTGAAATGGCTTGCCTCCAGAAACTCTATGAACGGTACTCAGGTCTTTCTTTCATAGGGTTGCTATGAGTTGTCTACAACAATTATAATTTGATCAAATAAATAACTGAGTGCTCTAAGTTTATTTCTATTTTGAGTAAGTATAATATATATGTTCTATATATAACTCAGTAGGAGGAATTTTTATCTATATAAAGACAGGTGCTATTTGGTTTAGTGTTAATGTTTTTTCTCTATTGTTTCTTCCTTCATTTTTAACACACTGAGCTGTGTTGGTTTATATCCATTTTACAAGGATCACTTACAGGACTATTTAATTTTTAGACAAGAACAAAAAAGAAGAGCCAACATTCAGAAGCTTAAATATTTTATTAAAATATTTTACAATGATAAGCAGATTTCCTGCACTTCAGTGTCTCCCCTGCAGCTTGATTTTAAAGTCATGTTCCAGCAAATTTTCAATATTCAGCTAATGTATTGGCCTGAAACAATTTGCTTGGAGGTATGCCATTGCACATTTATTTTGTACCTTTTAATATTATAAATAGTTTGAGATTTATCTTAAGGTTCTATTGTTTATGATAAGCGATTTCTTTTTGGCACCTGGGATGGCCCAGCTGCAATGGAGGCAAGGATCTCCAAATGGAGGGACTGTTCCCCAGGGAAATAACAGTCTCTTCTTCCACCCACCCCAAAAGTACTGGCTCTGGGGAAGAGTGTCTCACCTGACGGTGCCTTCTCTCCTGAAGCCTAATGTCTTCCTTTGTCTCTGGAGTGTCACAAGATCAGGGCGCCAAGTTAAGCAGTTTGTGTGGAGGGGAGGCTCAAGTCAGCTCTCCCTTCTCGCAGAAAGCTGAGAAAGCCCCCTACTTGTAACTCTCTGTCCCCAAACCATCTTTTATGTTAAAAGACAACCAAGTTGTAGGGGAGCTCTGGTGGCCTAGTGGCAAGGAGCAGCAACTACAATCCCAGAAGCGCATGGTTCGAATCCACCAGATGCTCTGCCGGGGAAGAAGGGGCAATATCCTCCTGTACCAGTAAGATCTGATTTGACGGTACACGCACACAAAAATAATAAAATTAAATTAAAACAAAAGACAACCAAGTTGTGTGAGTAGACAAGATATTAATGGTTAATAAATTTATAATTAAGCAACCAATAAAAGCTTCATATTTGACTCTCTCAAATACCACCCCAATGCATCTTAGCTTTTCTTTCCTACTCATTGTTCTATACAATTTGTTGTTGTTGTTGTTAGGTGCCATCGAGTTGAATACGATTCATAGTGACCCTATAAACAACCATCCTGAAACCTACACTATCCTGGGCCATCCTCATCATTTCTGAGACAGTAGAGCCCATTGCTGACATCACAGTGTCAGTCTTATCTCACTGAGGGTCTTCCTCTCCTCTGACCCTTCCTCTTTCCAAGCATGGTATCCTTTTCCAAGGAAACCAATAATTGTGCGTAACATAGATGGCTATTTCCAAGCAGCCAATCACTGCTCAACAAAGTAGGCTGTAAGACAGAACATTGACTTGGTGAATGCTATTAAGCCAGTTGATCTTAATGTTCCCCAAGACTATGGCCTCAAGCCCTTAGAACCAGCCACTCATATCCTCAGGATGTTTGGTTACAATTAAGAACTTTACAAAGCATCTAACTGATTTATCACTCCTCTTTACTTATTCTTTATACCATACAAATAAAGCTGCTAATCTTTCCCCACACATCCTTACAATTTCCTGCATTGAACATTTGTACATTCTAATCACTCCAGGTTTAACACCCATTTTCATTCTCCATTTCCACCTGTAAATTAATGTTTGTTATTAGTGTTAGTTCTTTATTTTTCTTCTTCTTCTTCTATTACTACTACTACTACCACCACCACATGCACCACCACCACCACATCTACCACCACCACATCTACCACCACCACATGCACCGCCACCACCACATCTACCACCACCACATCCACATGCACATCCAACTGGTACAGAAGGAGATTGTCCCTACTTCTCCAGCAAAGCACTTGGTGGATTCGAACCACATGACTTCGGGATTGTAGCGCAGCTTCTTGCCACTAGGCCAACAGAGCTCCTGGTTATTATTGTTAATCATGCATGGTTGTGTATACAATAGTGTTTGCCTTTCTGGTTCTATCTCTTGAGCAACTTTCTACGCCTTCCTTTTTTTTTGGTGATACTATGATCATCCCCTTTTCCTTCTCCCATAACACATATAATAGACTATGTGTTTATTATCTATTTCCTGATTGATTTTTTCCCTTCTCCTTCCCATCCCATTCTACCTTGGTAACCATTTAAGAATCTCTTTCTCTATACCAGTCTTTGCTTAGCTTGTTATAATAGTGGACTCATAAAATATGTATCCTTCTGTGATTGACATATTTTGCTTAGCATAATGGCCTCCAGATTCACCCATGTTATGCAGTGTTTCACAAATTGTTCATTATTCCTTAGTTTTGCATTATTAAAATATACCTACTTAGTAGTAGAATTGCTGGATCAAATGGTATTCACATTTCCAGCTTTTAAAGGAAGCTTTTCCAACAACGGTTGTCCTGTTTTATTGAACTTTGCTATTGCTACTATAGTAAGACAATATCTCTTTGTGGTTTTTATTTGTATCTCTTTCAAATGTAAAGATCAAGAGTATTTCTTTATGTGTTGGTTGACCATCTTAATATTTCTTTTTGCTGGCTTCTTTTTTTCATTTCCTGTGTCCAATTTCTATTTGGAATATTCAGGTTAATTTTTTGTTGTTGAGATTTTGGAGTTTTCTGTACATTTTAGAGATTAATCCATTGTCTAATATATTTTTATTAAATATTTTTCCCAGTCTGGTGGTTCACTTTTGATTCTTTATGAAGAAGCCTTTGATGCACATATGAATTTAATTTTTAGGAAGTCCCAGTTACTAAGTTTATCTCTGCTCTTTATATTTTTGCCTGTTTTGCCATACATTAGGACCTCTAAATCTGCCTCTATTTTTTTCTTTTGATAATATTTATAGTTTTAGATTTTACATTTAGGTGTGTGAGTTTTTTGATGAGGTAGAGATACGGATTTTTTTTCTGAAAATGAAAATCCAGTTTTGCCAGCACTAAAAACTAACCTCATTTCATGAA